ACCTTGCTGCTTAGTGAATGCCTGGCAAGTGCCATGTTTGCTGTTTTTAGAATATTTGTGCTTCATTGCTGCTAATTTATGAGGTTTATGAAGCCATTTTCCCTGTTATGGACACCCACTAGCGCAGGGGCGTGCCATATTTAACCACTTAAGGACCACCCCCTCGCAATGTACTATGGACAGGCGGCCTATACGGGAACAGCGACGTACAGGTATGCTGGCCTCTTTCAGGTACAGGGCATGTGCAAGCCCCCACCCACCGACTCCCGCTGTGATTAGACACAGCGGTAGATTGTCAGCAGATCCCAGCCAATGATTCATGACCAGGACCTCTTGATCAGCTATGTCCAGTCACAGCCAGGGGCGGACTGACCATTTGGAAACTCGGGCACTGCCCGAGGGCCCGGGATCAGTAGAGGGCCCCATGAGATGCCCCTGGTACCTTTTTCATAGGCTTTTTAGAGTTTGGGCAAGGACACAGGGGCCCCATGATCCCCTATTGCCCGGGGGCCCCATGAGTTGTCAGTCCACCCCTGGTCACAGCCCAGAGTCCTGTGTTGACAATCAACACAGGGCTCTGTACAGAGGGAACGATCTGTTTGTTTCTTCAACCTGCAAAGCAGTGAGAAGGAACAAAGAATGTTTTAATAAAAAGCAGCACATAATACACACATTAACACTTGTTAGGCACACAACCCTTTGATTACCCGAGATGTTAACCCCTTTCCAGTCATTAGTACAGTGACAATTAGTGATGTCGACCAAACATCGGCCACTCAAGTGTTCAGCGAAAACATGAATAGTAAGAGCGTTTGGCGGGCTGTTCGCTTGCCACGCCCCCACAATGCACTGCGCTCTGACAGTGTATTGTGATTGGCCAAAGCAATGCACCTGACCACAGGACAGGTGTAATGCTTTGACCAATCACAGCACAAATAGGTGGAGCTAGCGGTGTCGTCACCAGTAGCTCTGCCGAATTGTTTACATCTGACCGCCAAATGTCAGATAGCGGCGAGTGCACGGTGGGTGCAGACGGGTCGGCGGGCGTCAGTTTTTTTTTATATTGGCGAGTCGGCGTTGTCATGACAACGCTGGGTGCCATTATTGACAATGGATTGCAATGATGGAACCATTTTTTGGGCTTTTTTAAAAAAATAAATAAAGGACTTGATAAAAACTGTTGTGTTTTTATTCACATTTTACACTTTTTTGGTAAATGGGTAGAGGTACTATGTACCCCATATTCATTCACAAGGGGGATGGGGATCTGGGGGCCACCTTGTTAAAGGGCAATTCCAAATTATGATATGCCACCCAGCACAGACCCCCACAACCACAGCCCAGGATTGTGGGGAAGAGGCCCCCACCCCAAAACACCCCTCCATGTTGAGGGCATATGGCTTGGTACCATTCAGGAGGTTGGGGATACGCTCGCTCAAACCCCCCCCCCTTTCCTGTGCTCGGATCAAGGGTCTGGAAGGAATTTAAGGGTGACCCCACACTTTCCCCCCCATTATTTGGAGGTGGGGTTCCGGCTTTTAGGGGGAACCCTACGTACTTTTCTCCCCCTATTTGTTGGAGGTGGGGATAACTAGTGGACCTGGTTTGGCCTTTAGGGGGGTCCCTCCTAACCTTCCTACCAGACCTAAAGGGTCTAGTAAGGATTGGGGGGGGAACCCATGCTGTTTTTTTTAAATAAAATTTTTATTTTTAATAAAAATGCCTGTCCTGCTGCAGCAGGTTCTATACATTGTACAGATGTACAACTTTGCAGGTAGTTTAAGGGGAACCCCCAGGCATGATATTTAAAGGAGTCCGTATACCCCTTTAATGGCCAATAACTTATATAGACATATAAGCCTTCAAAATGGGCACTTTTGAATTTACATCGAGTCTCATAGACTTTCATTAGGTTCGAAGTTCATGGTTTGAGCTTTTGTTAGGTTCAAATGTTTGGGGGTGTTCGGTCCATCACTAGTGACAGTGTATACTATCATCACTGATCACTGTATTTTTTACATAAATGCTGTCAGTGTCAGTTAGTCATTTTACCACCCAGTGTCAGTGTCAGTTTGCCGGCCGCACTATCACAGTCCCACTATAAGTCGCGGATCACTGTCATTACTAGTAGAAAAAAAATAAGTTATTAAAAATTCCAGTATATATACCATAGCTTGTAGACATGCAAACCAATTAATATACACTTAATGGGATTTTTTTTTTTACAAAAACATGTAGCAGAATAAATTTTGGCCTCAATTTATGAAAATATTTTATTTTTATTGGATTTTTATTTTAGCAGAAATAAAAAATTTTTTTTCCCCAAAATGTTTCATCTTTTTTCGTTTATATAATAAAAAATAAAATATCCCCCGTGGGGACCAAATACCACCAAAAGAAGCTCTATTTGTGTAAAAAATTATATAGATTTTGTCTGGGTTCAGTGTTGCATGACCGTGCATTTACCAGTTACAGTAGCGCAGTGCTAAAAAGCAAAAAATGACCTGGTCATAGAGGGCGTAAAACCTTCCGAAGCTGAAGCAGTAAAGAGGGGAGAGTGTTAGCAGGTGTCAGTGCTCCTTTAATTGTTGTCGCTGTAGTGATGTACTGGGTGCAGATAGTGCCATGAGCCAGCACTATGGGAGCAGGAGACCTCTGATCAAGCAAGATGTATTGCTGTTCTGGAGCTAAGCTAAAGAGCCATCTGTAGGGCTGGACTGCCAGGGTGAAGAGAAAAGACACTTAGGAGCAGACAGAGAGACCTTGGCTTTTTCTAGGTTCATTCATATAATCAATATATGAAATATACAAAAAAAAAAAAGATGATTAGAATGTGGATGGCAAAAATCCATTATCACCAGTGATGCTGCCTGTAGGGGATGTAAGCTCAGTCCATGACATACGCTGCAATTAATTATGGCTGGTTCTTTTCCCTCAGTTCTTAAGATGAGTCTGTGTTCCCAAGATGCATCTGTTTCCTTTTCTTAGAATGAAGGAGTTTTTTTTATTAGGCTAAACAGTCTCTAGTTTCTGTAAAATAGTACATTTATTCTGGCATCCATCTAGTGGCCAAATTTAATAATGCAGGCATGACATGCATAATAAATTTCCCTGCTGGAAGCAGAACAGAGGATCTCCTTTGTGTGAGAGGGAAGACACCCTGTGTGAGTAACTCCTCATGTTAAAGTAGCTGTAATATCTGCAGAAGATGGCTTTGGGAGACTTGGAAGTGTTCTGCACTTGTGTGACTACTGCATAGCAAGTTATAATTTAGAGGAGAGTATGCTGCACTGTGAACTGTTATCAGCAAGCCCTAACCATCAAATGCGCTGCGATGTGCCTAAAATCTAAGAGTTGTACTGGAATGACGTTATACATTAAAGCATTGAAAATGAAACTTGTGTGGACATTTGTTTATGCCGGGTAACAGGTCTCAGTCAAGGAATATATGTTGAATGGGCTTTAGGCTAGGAGAAGATGACACAATATGGTGGAGTTACTCTAAAACAACAGGTGGGTGACTGTTCTTTGGAAGAAGAAGCAGGGCAGGTCCAGGGTACACATGGCACCAATAGTCAACCAACGCACTTACAGGCCATTTGACACAGGGACCAGAAGCTAGTGGAGATCACTGTAGTGGTGGTGTGTACTTGGCTGGAAGGATACAATCTGATACATTTGGCAGGCAGTACCACCACCAAACACAACTCATTCAAGTGCATGGGGCCGCTACATGCAAAGCACACAGTTGTGCTGTGGTGCACCAGGCTTTTACAGCAGAACTAAACCCATCAATTTGACTGTTTAAAAAACAATTACATGCCCGGTTATGGCACAATGGTGGGATTTAGGAAAACTGGAGCTCACAAACTCTGGTGCAACTGTGCATAGTAACCAATCAACCTCTAGGTTCCATTGTCAACACTTAATTGAACAAGCTGAAGTTAGAAGCTGATTGGTTACTGTGCACAGCTGCACCACATTCTGCGTGCTTCAGCTTTAGTAAATCCCCCCCACCCCCCATTGTCTCCAAGCCACTTGAGAAATGGCTTTGAAAAGTGATCCACTGTGGATTGCTTTTCAAAAGATAGCCACATGTGAAACGAGGCCTTACTGTTGATTGACTCAGCACTCTGGCTAGTTCCAAGCATCAACCCCTATTTTGGTAAAATAATACTCTCTAAGATCGGTTCTAAACTGCTTGTCCCCATGTTCTGGTACTTACCTTCATTACTGTCCTACTGAATTTTACTTACACCCTTTAATATATTTACAGGTTGCTCCCCATTTCCCTTTTTCCTCAGTAATGTGTTCATACAGAAATTGATTTTTTAAAGGAAAAGTTACAGCTAATAAAACACAATTGATTAAAACGAAAATATATAAAAATAAGCAAAGGAAATATATATAAAGATGTAGCCACACAAACATGGTTGCAAAATAATACTACAGCAGCATCTAAAAACAAGTGTAGAGAAAATTTGTCAATACCATACAATACAAATGTCAATACAAATAAATCCTCATTTTACTGCTGCATAATTGTAACCACTCCACAAGAGGAGAACAGAGTATTTGACAGTTTTATTGCTGTAACATTTACTTAGCACTTTATGAATCTTCAATACTGAATAAGGTGTAATGATATAGTAAAATTATGTAATCTGAATAAGTCATTTATTAAAGAGGAAAGAAAAGAAAAAATAAAAGAAAGAATAGAGAGAACAAAAGGAAAGGAGGTATATCCCCTGAAGACATGCATATGCACGAAACGCGTTGGAAGGGGTCTTACACGCTGACGTCACACTGACATTTCTGGTGCTCAGATCGCTGGGCATCTTAGTAAGTCTGGACTGCTTGTTTACATTTCCATATGCATTTATTTTATACTTGGTACCAGGGGCAGACTGAAAACTCATGGGGCCCCCGGACAATAGGGGATCATGGGGCCCCTGTGTCCTCGCCCACACTCAAACCACTCCCAAAAAAGCCTATGAAAGGTACCAGGGGCATCTCATGGGGCCCCCTACTGACCCCGGGCCCTCGGGCAGTGCCTGAGTGTTTGAATGGTCAGTCCACCCCTGCTTGGTACTGATATTTTACCAATAAATACTGCACTATATACCTTTACTTGGGCACTGTGGTGTGAGCTCCTTTCCATCTAGGGAACTTGGTTGGTGGCATGAGGCTGGATTGCTGAGGAGATGGTTTTGGATGTGCAACATGAGCTATGATACACGTAATTGTATTTTAGCTCTTTGGTGAGATCATAAGGGTGAAGGATTGCACATGACGGAGTGGAGAGTTTTATTTCCTACACCTGGGGACTTTCTATGCATTTCATCTGTTGAGGATTCATGTTTAAATGTTTAAATTTGCAAATTTATATTGGAATGAGCACCTTATTGGTTAATTTTTTTTTGGCTGCGTCTTATATTGTATGGTGTGTTAACTCTTTTGAAACTGATAGGCTTTATGGTTAATTTATATTGAATTAGGTGTATTAACTCTTTCAGTATTGATTGCATACATGTATCTTGTTTACACTGATGCACTTTTTTTTGTGCTAGCTGCTATTCCTCACTTATATTTTTTCCTTAGCTAAAAACAAGTGTAGGAAAATGATTTTGTCAATACAAATAAATTTTTGTTTTACTGCTGCATAATTGTAACCACACCACAAGAGGGCAACAGAGTACTTGACAGCTTTATTGCTGTAACATTGACTTAGCATTTATGCTTCTGCTGGGAGCAAAATATGTAACTTTAATGTGCAATACTGATTAAGGTGTAATGATTATGTAATCTCAATAAGAGGAAAGAAAAGAAAAGAAAAGAAAAAAGAATGGAGAGAAGGAAAGGAAAGGAAAGGAAAGGAAAAAAAGAAAATAAAAAAGAATGGAGTGAAGGAAAAGAAAGACAAGTACATCAAGAAAAGAAAAGAAAATAAATTAGAGAAAAAAAGGAAAGGAAAGGAAAAAAGAAAAGAAAAAATAATGGAGAGAGGGAAAAGAAAGAAAAGTAAATCAAGGAAAGGAAAGGAAAGGAAAGAAAAAAAGACAATAAAAAAAATGGAGTGAAGGAAAAGAAAGACAAGTACATCAAGAAAAGAAAAGAAATTAGAGAAAAAAAAGGAAAGGAAAGGAAAAAAAGAAAAGAAAAAATAATGGAGAGAAGGAAAAGAAAGAAAAGTAAAAATCAAGGAAAGGAAAGGAAAGGAAAAAAAAAGAAAAGAAAAAATAATGGAGAGAAGGAAAAGAAAGAAAAGTAAATCAAGGAAAGGAAACAAAAGGAAAGGAAAAGAAAAGAAAGGAAAGGAGAGGAAAGGAAAGGAAAGGGAAAAAAAGAAAAGAAGAAATGGAGAGAAGGAAAAGAAAGAAAAGTAAATCAAGGAAAGGAAATGAAAGGAAAGTGAAGGGAATTAAAAAAGAAAAAAGAATGGAGTGAAGGAAAGGAAAGGAAAGGAAAAAAAAGAAAAGAAAAAAAAAATAATGGAGAGAAGGAAAAGAAAGAAAAGTAAATCAAGGAAAGGAAAGGAATGGGAAGAAAAAAAGAAAAGAAAAAAAGAATAGAGTGAAGGAAAAGAAAGAAAAGTAAATCAAGGAAAGAAAAAAAAAGCAAGTAGAGAGAAAAAAAGGAAAGGAAAGGAAAGGAATGGAAAGGAAAAGGAAAAAAGAATGGAGATGTGATCATAGCATGCATGTTTGCTTAGTGTCACACCTTTAAAAGTATGCACTTTTGGCTTTTTTTTGTTTTAGTGTTGTTTACATTTATATCGTACACCATCACATAGCTAGCATATATTCTAGTGTTGTCATAGTTGTATGAGTCTACATGTGCATAATACAAACTGTGAGACTAGGGGAGATTTACTAAAACTGGTGCACACAGAATCTGGTGCAGCCCTGCCTAGTAAACAATCAGCTTCCAGGTTTAATTGTCAAAGCTTAATAGAATAAGCTGAAGTTAGAAGCTGATTGGCTACTATGCACAGCTGCACTAGATTCTAAGTGCTCCAGTTTTAGTAAATCTCCCCCAATGCTTTGGTTGGACACATCTGGCCACTTCCTGTTTCTTATAAAAATACAACGTATGTGAAACGCTGACCTCAGATGATACCTAAGCAAAGATGGCATCATCCAAGACCAAGCAGAGGAGTAGAAGAAAGACACAAATTCCTTGTACACTTTGGCAGGAGGGGGAAGCAAAAAAGGGCAAGACCAGCAACCAGCTTATGGGGTGGCCCACTTTGGCCTTTTTGATTTTGATGTTATAGGGCCTTGGGCTAATGCTGGCTTCATCTTCTTGGAGAGGAAAGATTCATATTCTGCACCATTGGTTGTCCAGTGGATCAGTAAGCATATGGTCTTGCCTTCACTTTGTGTGAACACATGGCTGTAATCAGGGGCAGACTGACAACTTATGGGGCCCCAGCGCAATAGGGGCTCATGGGGCACCTGTGTCCTTGCCCAAAGTCAAAAAAGCCTATGAAAAAGGTACCAGGGGCATCTCATGGGGCCCCCTACTGACCCCGGGCCCTCAGGCAGTGCCCGAGTTTCCAAATGGTCAGTCTTCCCCTGGCTGTAATATAGAATTCTAGCAAATAGCAAATATCTTCTAGCAAATAGCAGTATTTCTAAGCCAAGGAGGTTCCATCTCCTGCATTACCCTCAGGGTTACCCTCACTAGCTTGCAAGAATACTAGAACTGTTAATTCTAAAATTATCTCTGCTGTTAGAATTGCTGTGCTGTGAGAGACTGTGTTTCTTTTTCTGCTCTGCACAAACACCTGCTTTCTGCATAATGTTGACTACGCATAGTTAAAGCTACACTGCTCTTATTTGCAGCACTGTGTCTCGGCAAGGATTTGTGCATCTACTAGACATAGACCTTCATGGTGAAGCAGATATTCATCAGGTGGAAATATCTGCTAGACTCAGATGCACAGTTAAGCTTTCCATGAAGCATATGTGGGTAGGTGCTACGGTGTGTGGCAACTCATGGGGCCCCTAGGCAACAGGGGATCATGGGGCCCCTGTGTCCTTGCCCAAACGCAAAAATCCTATGAAAAGGTACCAGGGGCATCTCATGGGTCCCCTACTGACCCCGGGCCCTCGGGCAGTGCCCGAGTTTCCAAATGGTCAGTCCGCCCCTGTGCTACACCCATATTCAGGGTGTAACATGTAACATGTTACGATCTGACTGACCCCTGCACCCCCTCTTTTGTCTGCTGATCCCCTATTGCCCGGGGGCCCCATGAGTTGTCAGTCCGCCCCTGTGCTGGACATTCTCCTGTCAGGAAAATGCTGCATGTTCTAATGCACATTGTGAGAAGCTCACAGTGTGCAGTGAATTCTGGGTAAACAATTTCAGTCAATAAGAGGAGCTGAAGGGCTGAAAACGTTCTGGTCCAGTAAAGAGAAGAATCAAATGCTAGTTTATACTGGTATTACCTCCATTTATTCAGACAGAGTTGATTTTCTAAAAAAACAGGACATTGTCACTTTGCAAAGTGTATTTTCACTTAGGGCCAGTTCACACTACATGTGTTTCAGTTGCTTTTTTTCTGCATCCAAAACGCACAGAAAGTAGGTGAAATGGTTGTCAGTGTCATTAGGGGGCCCCATGAGATGCCCCTGGTACCCTTTTTCATAGGCTTTTTTGAGTTTGGGCAAGGACACAGGGGCCCCATGATCCCCTATTGCCCGGGGGCCCAATGAGTTGTCAATTCGCCCCTGGTGTAGCATGTAACATGCTATGAAAGGTGAACTTATCCTTTAACTGTATTACACTATTGGAGTTTTTATCCTTTTCTTCATGAATGCTGGTTTATATTGAGCTGAGGGTCCCGCAGATGGAATGGAATAAATAAGACAACGCATTCTCTATGCCGATCATGAGAATATGAGGCATATAAATTTGATGAGTGGGAGTCCTTTGGGGACTTGGTGGCACTGAGCACTTATATATATATATATATATATATATATATCTATATCTATATATATATATACATTTACCATCAAGATTGGACGTTAATGGGACTTTATTCTGTGCACGTTTAAAGCACTGGGTGGACTCTTTTATTTCACTTTTATGTTCATTTATTTGAAATAGTGACAGTTATTTGATATTTATAAGGTGTTGAGTGATTTGGATACACATATAGTTTATATGATGCAGAATAGCACCTCTGTTCCTTTTGATTATTTAGAAGGATCCATTTGACAAAGATATCACAACTACATGAAACTATGCCATGTTACTCTACTTCCTCCAAGCATTTTAGGATATTCTTTACATTAGTGGTCTCCAAACTGTGGCCCGGGGGCCGAATGTGCCCTTTGCTTGCCTTTATCTGGCCCTTGGGGCACTGTTCCTCTTACTCAAAAGACACAATATTCCTGCCACTAACAGCAACAATGGGACACCATTCTTCCCACTGACATCAATGATTGGACACTATTTCTCCCACTGACACCAACGATTGGACACTATTCCTCCCACTGACACCAACAATTGAACACTATTCTTCCCATTATCAATGGTTGGGCACCATTCCTCCCACTGACACCAACAATTGGGCACTATTCCACCCACTGACATCAACGATTGGGCACTATTCCTCCCACTGACATCAATGATGGGGCACTTTTTCTCCCACTGACACCAATGATGGGGCACTATTTCTCCCACCGACACCGATGGGACACTATTGCTTCCACTAACACCAATGTCCAGCCCCACTAAGTTTTGATGGACATTAAACTGGTCCTTTGTTTAGAAAGTTTTGAGACCCCTGCTCTACATCACTAAGGTCCTGCAAACATTGATCATTGCTAAGATCCTGCTCACAGCAATCATCACTGAGTATTCAGCTCTCTAAAACCTGTGCTACAGCAGAAGAGGCTACAGTGGAAGCTTGTAGTATAAGATGAAATCTAGTGAGCTTCTATGGTGCCTAATTAACTATTTGTGCCAAACTAAGTCAAAATAGTAGATCACTTGCACCGTACACATACCCATACAAATGTGTCAACACTTAACAAATAC